ATATATATCAGTAGAAAAACTATCTTGAATGTACGAATGAAGAAAAAACACACCTGTGTGATACTAATTACCATACATCCTTCCCAAACAACTAAGCATTGATTGGAACAGCTCTCTCATCACTTTGCTCAATACAAAGAAACTAGGCCGTTTACTCCCGTTGCCTGGCGGTAGTCTACACGTATGCATTTAGGTATGGTCGCGTAGTCGCGTTGTTTCGAAGAAGCGCAGGTAAAGTTTTCATCACGCGCTCTGTGCTGCTAAGGTAACTGAATTTGTTTTGGTTACGTAGAAGGAGAGAGAAGTTTGAATATCTCAGAAAAGCATGGGGAAGGCACATTTTGCAAAGATATTCATCAGCGCCTTTTTTTGTCATCGATGGTAATAGATTCAAAATGTGTAAGCTGGTAAAGTTAGGTCGATCAAAAAGTGCAGCAATATTTGTAGTTTGCTGGGCAGTCATTCTATCACAGCAGATTCAATCCAGTTCAACGGATATTGGAACATCAATAAACGGTATGGTAGGGGATAAACAATCTCAGTACATGCAAAATAACTCCTATTTTGTGTGATGATTTGTTTCCTTCTTTTCCATCGTTTGTTTTTTAACTCCTGTTTCAGTCTCCAGTCTGATTGAACCTAGGCCTAGGCCTACCTAGAATAAGCTTTATTAACGCTCTCTCTACACTATTTTATGTGACTAATAAATATTTGTGTGTAGTAAAATAATATGGCTTCATAATGCTCATATGCCTATTTATGGGCAATCACGTAAATTAACGTGTCCCATAAAATGTGATGGACAGAACTTAAGAAAAGGCCTAGGCCTAGCCTAACTAATTTAAGTATTATCCATTCCCCTATATAATAAGACATAGGATTTATGTTAAATATAAGTTTGTGTTAGGCCTATATTTTAAATGTATACAACTATAGTAGTTCACCACTATGGTTTTATTTAAAATTTATTATTTACAAAGCAAAATCTGATAAAATTGATTTGTAGGCCTACATGTTGCTTATTATTAAGAAAAAACTCGAAAAGTTATAAACACGTTGGTCTTCATACAATACTGGCAACCCTTCCAACGTCAAGTTGGTAATTCTTTCCAGTCTTGCAGACGAATAACACCAACACAATTCTCTAAGCCTACTCTCTCTCCTCTGCAACTCAGTTGTGAAGACAGGGTATAAATAATACACAATTTCGTTCACGATTTCACGATAAGTTAAAAGCTTTCCTCTTATTAGGCCTTTCTTATTTTTACATAATAGCTCCTGTACAGATCGACAATTCGGGGGATGATAATGGAATATACAGAAGTAAAAGCAATGTAGTGCCTAACAGTCTCGGAAAACGCAAACATGATTCACATGACGAAAAACTTAGGACACGATGTAGATCCCATAGTGATAAACACAATGGAGGTAAAGGGATGCAGGTACGCAGTGGAACTCAAATCAGAGGTAAAAGCAATCCACATGACAAAATAAGTAAACGCAGTGAAACCCAAATTAGTGGCAAACGCAGTGATGATGACGCGGTTATGAAAGACTTCGAAACGCACCTTGGTGGTAAACGTGATAAGGGCTTAGTTGACGAAATTAATAAACGATTTAAAACGCATAATGTTCGTAAACGTGGTTTGAGTGACATGATTAAAAGTCGCATCGGGATGCACACAGGTAAAAATCATGACGCAATTCCGAAGTCAGGTTTTCCAGAAAAAGGGATTCAAGACAATAGTCACTTGATAGAAACTCCATCAGTGGAATCAGACTATAGTAATAAGCTCGACAATATTCTTAAAAATATTGAGGTAAACGATAAAATTAACAATAAACCTGAAATTGATGGTGAAGTGAAAGAGCAGACCCATATTCCAGATGATGATATTATAGATGTATTAGCAGATAGAGAGGAACTTGAATATCAGAGGGAAATGGATGATATTGTAAAGAAGCAGATGGTTTTAGAAGAATTACCTCTCAAGTCTAATCAAATTCGGCAAAAGTTTATAGCAAATACCAATTACGGTGACACAAGCAAGAATAAAATAAAAATTGAGAATAAAGTACCTGAAGAGACAAATCTTGCTGACGATGACATCATAGATGAATTAGCAGATAGAGAGGAGCGTGAATATCAAAGCAAAATGGATGATATTGTGAAGAAGCAGATGGTTTCAAAGGAAGAAGTACCATTGAAGTCTGACCAAAATAGAGCCAAATTCAGAACAAATACCGAAGAAGGTAACACACGCAAGAATAAAATAAAAATTGAGGGCAAACTAAATGAAGTGAGACAAAATTCTGATGATGATATTATAGATGAATTAGCAGATAGAGAGGAGCGTGAATATCAAAGCAAAATGGATGATATTGTGAAGAAGCAGATGGTTTCAAAGGAAAAAGTACCTTTGAAGTCTGACAAAAATAGAGCCAAATTCAGAACAAATACCGAAGAAGGTAACACACGTAAGAATAAAATAATAATTGAGGGCAGACTAAATGAAGTGAGACAGAATTCTGATGATGATATTATAGATGAATTAGCAGATAGAGAGGAGCGTGAATATCAAAGCAAAATGGATGATATTGTAAAGAAGCAGATAGTTTCAAAAGAAAAAGTACCTTTGAAGTCTCAACCAACTTCGGAAAATATCAAAACAATTACTAGAAAGGTTAACGCACACCCGAATAAAATAAAAATAAAAATGTCTAGCAAAATAAATGAAGAGAACCATATATCTGATGATGATATCATTGATGAATTAGCAGACCGAGAGGGACATAAAGCGGATGATATTGTAAATAAACAGATGGTTTCAAAAGAAAAAGAACATTTGGAGTCTGACCAAACTTCGGAAAAAATCAGAGCGAAAACAGGCGGACGTAACACATATGAGAGTGAAATAAAAACAATAATATCAGATTTGATAGATGACCAAAATAACTTCAAAGATAACCTGGAAAAAAACAAAATAACAGCCGAAAAACTGAAGCACGAACTATTTGAGATTCAAAACAGACAACGTGACGTTGAAGAGCAGATGGGGTCAGCGATTGCTGAAAACGACGATACTAAGCGGGCGCTGTTGGATTTGTCAATTGAAAACCAATTTGTCAAAAGCAAAGTTGCCGATCTCACAAGAGGGACAGTGACAAAAGAAACCGTAGATAAAGCTATGAAACAGGGCATCGATCGAGCTGTAGACACGATGAAAAATGATACGAATGTGATTATAAGTGAACTTGTGGAAGCTCTCGAAGACAAGCAGAAAGAGAAATATGAGGGCAGCATGACAAAAGCGACTAAAGGTTTAACAAAAAAACAGTCGTCCAGAAACCACCGTTTGAAACCACCACCGATACATAAACATATAGGCCTACATGCATCAACTGTCGGTCATGAACGGCATAAGGTCAATCTGAACCACCGTAATATAATCAGCATAAACAGCGTGACAGGCAGGAGTGAAAAACCGCGGAGAGACAGATCCAGACACAGACAACAGCCACAGCATCACTTCAGGCATAATATTGAAATCGATAAGCTAAAGCATGCAAAGAGACACAGAAGTGCTTTTAGATCTCAGAGTCACGTAGATAGCAATGGACAAAGGTTACGTCATCGTGCGATACTAAATGACCATCCAGTAGACAAATACGAATACGACTTACTTCCACCGGACGTCAGTATCCCATTCAAAGTTGCAGACAATCCGATTGGCATAAATGTTGGTGAAAGAGTTGTTGTTGATAGAAAAACGTATAACGAATGGATTAAAGACATTTTGCAAGAACTTGACGAGGGTTATAGAAAACCTAACGGTTTTAAGAAGAATAGAATCAGTATGTCAGAACGTGTCGGTCGACAAAAACCAGTTCGTCCGTCACAACGAGCAGGCAGTGATAACCCACGGCATACATTGAACCACAAACAGAATGTCGAAAATAAGCATTGGGTGAACAGTTTCATTGAAAGCATTTCTCAAGATAATGAGTCTCGTTCAGCAGATGATCAAAATGATTTCCTTGCAATGACAGAGGCTCTGAGACCTGGCTATTATATTGACGACGGAAGTATCCCAAAGAGCCATTCTAGTTTCAATACTAAAATGC